ACGCCCAGTTCCGTTAGAACATTACTAACCAGTTGCCTTTCTAAAATCTCGATTTCTACATCTACCATTTTAATGATTACGGAGGTTCCTTCCTTCTTCGTTATATGCGTTTTGGCTGGATTCTTTTATCCCGCCTGGCCTAGGACTATTTATCACTACTCACGTCTTTCCATCCAAAAAATTTACGAGACTAAAATTCCAGAACGTGAAATTCTTTCCAACTCACTAACTTCTAGTGATCTTTATCAACATTTTTCATGTCCTGTTATGTTTTCTCCTTGGAGTCAACACCACCACGTATCTCCCAATTTTTCACGCGTAGTAAGTTCGTGACCTTTATTTCAATTCTCCATCATAATTTTCCATATCCGTGTTCCACCTTCTTTATTAACGCCCTCATCATCAATCACCGTTATTATCAAACCTTTCGTATTTACTAACAGCACGCTCAGGTCCAACTACGTACTTCAACCAAAAAGATGCCTTCTAAACTTCGCGTCTTCCCGCCGCCACACGTCCTCCCACCTCCCTCGCAGACTCCCTCGCAGACCCCCTCGCAGACCCCCTCAGAGACTCCCTCAGAGTCTCAACAAGTAGAGTCTCAACCGGTAGAGTCTCAACAGATAGAGTCTCAACAGATGGAGTCTCAACAGGCGAGAGACGTGTCGGCCGTTGAAGATAGCCATCCGCCACGACCAACACCCACGACTAAGGAAGTAAGAAAATCTGTAGATAGCTTTATCGACAAAACCTACGCTCCAGCAGAAGCACGTGAACTCAAGACACTCCTGAGCAGTTTGGAATCTGAAGATGAAGACGAAGACGAAGACGTGTCCCCTATTCAGGGTCGCCAGGGTCCAAAGGTAAGAAATATTACTCCTATGTCCCACCAGGCCTTTTCGCGTCTTTGAAACTAACAATAAAGTAGCCTTTATCCGAGCAGGAATTACTTCATCCGGCCCAATTGGGCGTACGATCCCCCCCATCGAACATTTCTGATGGCGGTAACACTAAGGATGTTCGCAATAACACTGCTGGTAGTAGCAGTGGGTTTAATGATGGTAAGGCTCGCAAAGGCATCTTTACTGCCAATAGTTATCTTTGTATATGAAGGCTGCTAACTAGTGATCTTATTCGACAACGTGAATGAGTCTCACGGCTAACAACTTTCTCTTATAGATGGTTATCGGTATGTTCCAATACCCAACGAGGAACGTGGCCGTCCTGCCAGTTCTTGGTCTGCTCGCGAGATAGCGGAGTTTGACAGTGTGTATGACCCCTACACTTTAATAATACCTAACGTCGACCGAAGCTCAAAAACCAACGAGACCGAAGTATCCCAGGAGGGTCGCCCGAGTGCGCTTCTGCCACTCCGTCTATGTCAACCGCCTCAGTCACCACCACCGGGGTTCCCTCCGCCACTTCCACCGCAGAGATTCCCACCGCCGAGACACCCACCACCGAGATTCCCCCCTCCTCGCGTACCAATGCGAAGTTATCGTCCTCTACCGGTAATTCCCAGCAGCTCCGCTGGGCTAGCTCGCTTTACAAACCGAGGAATGTCTCGCAGGGGAGCTCAGCGAGGTGGACCTTCCAGAAGTAATACCAGCGCATTCCCTTCAATCAGCCAAGAAGGTTCTTCTATAAATACCACCCGCCCATCTACTGAGGCCGACACGAAATTGCCGACCACAGACAAGTCAATTTCTCCGCGCGCACCGAAAACACAGGCTGCATTCGCATCACTACTCGCAACCTTCGATACTGATTCGAGTTCAAGCAAGGAATCTACCGTGAGCCAATCCAGCCAACCTGAAATTCAAGACTTACAAGCTGGTCCAAAGTTCCCGCGCATCGTCAGCCCTAAGAATAGTGTCCATTCGCAGCACGCGTCAATTCAAACAGTCTCACCACTCTCGGCATCTCCAGGAGACCCAGCCGAAATGACTAATTCCCAAGGCTCTCCCAGCCCTCGTAAGTAAATTTCTATCAATTTTATGATGGGAACAAACTAACATGAGCATAGCTTCTCGAAAGCGAGGAGCTAGTGGTACCGGCCCTGCCTCAGGCGCTTCTCGAGCGAACTCTAGTATGTTTTACTCATTTCCTCTCCATGCTGCATTTACTCTTTCAATATCAAGCTGTATAGGTACTTACTAGATACATAGGCGCCCCGATGCGACGCAACGGCGAGGATTCCGGCGACCGCCGCGATGGTAATGAAGGCAATGGTAAGGCAACTACGCGAACTCACTCGTCGCGTCGCGAAGAAAGTATCTAATCACTCTCACTTACAGGCGACCACTTCAACCTCTCCGCCGCCACTGCCGCGCTCCGCCAGCTCGCTGAAGCACAGTCGCCTCTTACTACCAATCCCCAGGTGAACTCACCCACGCCTATCGGCCGCGGACAGCAGATCGAGCAGCAGAACGGACATCAGAGCGGTCATATGAATGGCCAGCAGAATGGTCACAGAACTTCTTCTCAAGAACTGGTCCTTACCAATCGCCCACACACCCGTGCCAGCGATGTCATGAACGAGATCCTTCCGTCCCCTATTGCCGCAAGCACTCCTTCGCGCATCATGACCGAAGAGTACATCCGTGCTATGATTCGCGCTGATATGCGCCAGTTGCAGGACGATCTAAGTTCAGACCGTATCACCCGAACCAACCTCCTCTCTGCGTTATCCTCACGCTCTCATCATCTGTCGGTCCGTACCGAAGCTGGCTTGCGCCACTTCGTCCGCCAGCAGGTGGCCTTGCAAACGCCAGAAATCACGGCATTCTAGAGCAGTGCCGATATCGAGGCTCGCAACGCCGCCGCCGAGGACAGAATTTATGCAGCTGTTATACGAGCCATCCAGAACGAGGACAACTTCAATGTCAATGCAGAGTCGCTTGAGGACCCTTTCGTTGTTCCGGGTAACGGTTCGGCTTCTGGCTACATGGGCCAGTCCGGTGCTCCTGGACCTTCGTATGCACTTCCGCAGCCTCCTGTCGGCGGTCCTGGAACACAACATGGTCATGGTCATGGTCATGGTCAACAATTCCCGGTTCCTCAGCCTGGCCAGCCCTTCCCGCCGGCTCGACACCCCAACCACGGGGCCAATCTCTCGCAGCGTGTGAACCCCGTCACTCAACATCCGCTGCTTCAGCATCCGATCAGTCAGTATACTCGCCAACAGGCTACGTCCGCGTTCCCTACTATGGCTACAGGCAGTAGCTCGTCGGAACAGAAGGCCCCATCTTCGGGTGCTGAGCAAGGATCGAGACTCGTAGGTCAGCAGAGCGGCCTGGACTGGTATCCCACGGATGGCAATGTCGTTCTTAGACGCGCGCCCGGCCCATTCCTCTATTCACCCTCCGACCCGGAGCAGCTCAAGCGCCAGGACCAGGAACGACGCGAGAAGCGACTTGAACGCGAGCGCGCACGCGCTGTGAAGCGAGAAGTAGCCGAGCAGCAGAAGCTGGTTCAGCAGCAGAAACAGACCGAGCAGGCTAAGAAGGAGCTGCAGCAGACCAAGAAAGAGCTCGAGAAAGCTAAGCAAGAACTGCGAAAGGCCAAGTCCCAGCAGGTTTCTCAACAGGGCCCGCAACTCCGCCAGACCGACAGTTTCTCTGGCTCGCTGCGCCGCGCTTTCCACACCGCTTTCCGCAAGTCCTCCACCAGTGCTCCTGGCCCCGTCCCCTCTGAACAGGATGAGGATAACGACAAGGACAAGGACAAGGACGAACAAGACCAGGGTGGACGCTAAGAATAATACCGCCGTTATTACTCTCTGACTCTGACTTTCTGACTGTCTGGTTTCCGAACTCTCTGGTACACTGGTTCCCTGGTACTCTGACATTCTGGTACTCTAACTCTCAGGTTTCCTGGTTTCCAGTTACGCTAGAAGCTGCCGCTCTAAGCAGTATACTACGTAGCCTGTAATTCCTACACGGTTTGGTTGCGGAATCAATAACATTGCATGGAAGGATATGGCTCCGGTTGATTGTTTTCGTTGGCGTTTGAGGGGCTTAGGCATAACGAGGATTTGTTCAGTGCGGATGCTAAGGCACCTAATTCACTGAATTTTAGCAAGCAGTTGCAAAGGCAAGGAGTGGAAACAGTTGCGGAAAGGGTCTTTTCTCGCTGTCGCTTGCGACTATTATACCAAGTGTGTTCATAAGGATTCGGAGATGAGTTTGTAGACTTAGAGCCCTAGTTAGCCTAGTCAGTCTGCCTAATACACCACTCCGTATCCATATTCGAGCCCACTAATGGGTGTTTATGACTCTAAAGATAGTGAAGACGTAGCATACGTATACCCCTATGTTTCCTACTCCCGTATTCTTGACTTGACTAATTATGCTACTCGTAGAACTAGGATTATAGCAACATGCTATATCTGAAGAATTAACCGTTGAAAAATTTAGTATACTGACTGCGTAATCACAGGTGATGGAGCTTATAATCCACGCTCCTTATTTTATCTCCTGAGACAAAGCTGACTTCTCGTTATCATCAGTCATTTATCAGTACTTTCATACCTCGCTAGGTTAGCATCAAATGTAACTACATATAATGTGCATCCAGGTCTGCTTTGTTGTCTGGAATAGAGTTGAAAAGCCTGGGTATTTACTTTATATTGACAACTTTGAGCCTCTGGGATGGGCCGACAATGGGTCACTATATGTCTTCCTAAGTGTCGAGAAAAGGGGAGTTTGATAATATATACAACTAGCCCACAATTCCGGTCAGTCTAAACGCTGAGAAGCAAGCAATCAACTTAAACCTCCCAGGCAGAAAATCTCGAAAAGTTCTGTTTGCGAATGGTGACTACATGTATCTTGGTACCTTGCTCGGACACTTCTAGCAGCCACGGCTGTGACTGCCATAGTTGGATGATAATGGCACTTTCCTTAACGATTCACTCAACGCTTGAACCCACACGCCTAAGTGTTATGTATCGAAATTTGCGTCCAATTTACCATCAATCAGCCAGACGATATTATTAAGGTGCTTTAGAGAAGTGGTTTAACTCACTCCCTTTGGGCTTGCACAATTGGGAGAGATCGGGGGTTCGAATCCCCCAAGCGCCCCTTTTTTATCGACCTGTTTTTTCCTGCCCATCACTTTTAAAACGTGTCTCTTAAACGAAATCTAAGATGTATGCATATTTCACACATTTCTACTTGATCCCTATTTTATTTTCTTATAAGTTCTTGGTGGAATCCAACATCCAGTTGGAGACGGATGGTGAAAGGTGCATCACGGCTCTTTGGCATCTACCAACTTTCCATAAGCATTACATTAGCGCTTCCTCGGCACAGTTGTCGGAGTTCTACCATTATAGCTCTAAGGCATGGGGAGACTACATCATAACCCTAACTCGTAGGTAATATGGCTAAATAGTAGGTGCCATTGTCAAACCTTGTTGCCATCCCCCATATGCTGCGGAATCCCGAGACTGACACCTAACATGTATCATCACTTTTCGAACTCAGGATGAACACAAATATGCACTAGACATAACCACGCCATAAAATCCTAAATATTTGCCTAGAATGTATGCGATTCGAGACGCTACACGCTGTGGCGTAGATGTCTTGTAATATCAAGCACCATCAGCTATCTACCTATTAACGAGACGCCTGCCGATGGCCTCACCAAGGCCCTAGCACACACTAACGACAGGTTAGGCCTACCGGTTTGTTGCAATCTCCTAATAGGTGGAACTCTTAATAGTGGATAGGCGTAAGCCATGACTCGAAACAAACGGGTTGATATCATTCTACAATAAAGCAGACTCACGCTCACGCTAGAGAAAAATATCACAATAACTAGTAGTTTACTTGGTCATAAGTCCATGCTAGGCAGAATATTGAGAGATAACAAAATGATGCAGATGCGAATATATCTTCGTCTAATCCTTGTGAAGATACAAGCAGCAGCCCAGAACTGTACATATAATATTCAATGAGTTTCGTGTGTTATCTATGTAGGGTTTCCAACCTTTTCAAGAATGTGATGACTATTAGTGGTGGAGTACGATGATGTATGGTGGCAAAGACAATGACTAAGTCAGTCTCGAAAATCGGCTGATAGAGGCAGATCTTCCAAAGAGACTAGAAGAACTAGAGACAGTCACCTTCGGATAATCAAAGAGTAGCAAGAGTATGTTGTACAGTTGAGGCCTCAATTGCCCATAATGCAAATGCGCAGAACCCGTCGCTGTGTTTCTAGCCTAAAATCTGTTGTCCCCTGGAGTAGGTTACAGAATAATAACATGAATGACCATACGCTGATAAAATAAATCGATAACGCCAATCTTGACCGCGATGATGCATGCCCCAAGTCCAATTTATTTTAATTTCGCTCCCAGAAGTAGCTGGGAATCGGTTGTTTCAAAAGCCAGACGCTCAGCTCAAAAAGCTGTTGACGACAGTGATGACAGTGGTGTAAATCATAGCGACCAGCCCGATAACCATGAATATAATGTCGCCAGTTTTGGCCCACCATGAAGTTGCGACACCTTTGTAATGCAGATATGCTGGATAGATGTAGACTAGGGGAACACAGGCAAAGGACCCGATCAAGGCGACAAATCTGTCCAGGTTCGAAGCGCCCGCTATCGAGATGACACCACAGAGAACAACAATCGCTGCCCTGAATGCATTCTTAATCCACTTAGTGCGGGTACTTTTCTTCCCCGAATGCGAGCCAATGAATTTCCCCTCCATGATCCTAATGGCGGGAAACAATTGAACAGGGGTACCGACGAGGACTGCGAGCGAGTACAGGAATTGGACCGCGTTGACCAACTTGCTGTCTTGTGGGTAATTGTTGATAATTTCGATCTGGGTCTTCTCGCCAAACGTGGCGTAGCAAAGCGCACCGACAGCAGTAAACAGGACTGTGATGATGAGCATGACGATAGCGAGGAGCCATTCAAACCGATGTGGCTTAGACATCGACGACTGGATTGGAAGAATAAGCCCGATGCCTTCAAACGTAAAGATTGCCGCTCCAATGGTCAGTGTGTACTTTGAGGGGTTGAAAAGAACGACACTCTCGTGGATGCCATTCGAGGCGAGGTAAGCAACGTCGTAGTAGTAAATGTAGCCCACGCCAAGTAAAATGCAGGTATCCGCAAGAAGCGCAACGGGGCTAAGTTTCGCGATGTTGCGGATAAAAGCAAGAGGAATCAGAACGATGAGCTGTATGAGAATGAGCGCCGTAGATGAGAGTGGACTGTCGCCGTGCCCTACGGCCTGAAGAAACGATGTCATATTCTCTGCCACGAACACTATGCCTGCGCAGACAAAACCCAATTGCGATAGAGTGATGGAACACAATATCAGGACCCGCATCCGATTTCCCGCGATAGCGTGGCCGATCTCTCCATAGCTATTGCCGTAGCGCTCCTTGCAGGCAAGGAGCAGATGGAATGCCAGCATGGTGACGGACGAGACTACAAGCATAGTCAAGGATGAGAATAAGATACCGCCATTGTTGAAAGCTTTCGGGAGAAACATTATCCCCGTTCCAATAAATGCTTTTAACAAGGTAAAGAATGTGGTTTTTGTATTAGTGGTGGCCTTTCGCGGCATACGTGAAGATTTGCGGCGTCCAAGGAGCGGTCTGGTCTCGGATGGCGGCTCATTCTCGTCTCCCTCATCTCCCTCCTCCTCGTCCTCAGATAATACAGCCTCATCGTCCGAGTCGGCAAGATCCTCACCGGCAAAGCTTCCATAGAGATCCAAGAACTCAACGAAATTCCTTGTGACAGGCACCCTTGAAGCCCAGATGTCGCGCCGCTGATGTTGCTGTATGAAGGCTCTACGGAAACCTCCTGGAGCCAATTGGTCACTTACGGTCAACCCGTCGGCGCCGGTATCCCCGACAATGTCCGAGGGGTGGTGGAAGGTTGCAGCTCGCTTGTGCATCTTGACGCGGGCAGCTGTCTTGAAAAGGTCGCGGTGGATGTCACCTCCCTGGAGTTTTAGCGAAGATTCGCCAGGCTCCGGCTCTGTCAGGTCCTGTTGGCTAGAAGACGACGCAGCAGCGGAACTACCAGGTTCTCCGACAAATGCAGCCGAGAATCCAGATGGGAGATGCTCCGAGACAACTTGAGCCTCCCGCACAGTCTGGTCCGGTGCTGGGGCATCTGCGGCGTTGAAGATTGGAGAGTCCGCCATGTTGAAGGTACCGGTACAACTTCTAAATGGGTATGCAGGTGTAGATGTACATGGAAATATCTATGAGAAGCCCAAAGAAAGTGAGTAGTATGTTCTAAATTTCGATATCAATGCATCTTAGAGCTGTGCAAAGGCGAGTCGTTTTGCAACATCGAAGGTAACGGTGAAGTTGAACTTGGTGGCGGGTTCGGATTCTGGGAAAAAGCTTCTTCAATGAACATGAACGGTGAAACCTAAAAACGCCCCAGCGCCTTTCTTGTCGGCCGACGACTAACTGGGTGCCAGGTGGCGGCCTTAAGGGCAAATGATGCCGCTAGCGTAGGCTTGCACGCAAGTTTCCACTAGACCCCGCTATAATTAGGCAGTTTAGGACTAGACCAGATCCACTTATGCCCACCGCCGGTCCAAGCCAAGCCAATGAAAAAACTAGCGCACTTCCACTAACAATTACCGTGTGGATATTTGCTAAATTTTTACCCACGACCTGCGCTCCGATCTTAAAAAATATCCAATGCAATTATAACTATCTGTTTCAGTCTGTGCATTCACAACTGGTAGCCAATCGCCATCAAGGAGTGGCTCAACATTCTCGATTGGTCTAGTGGTCAGGATACCTGCTTGTCACGCAGGTGGCCGGGGTTCGATTCCCCGATCGAGAGCAACTTAGGAAGACACGACTTAAAGTGTAATTTTTTTGGTGATTTCTCCTTACTTTTTTTGTGAAAGGTGTAGGTGCAAAGCATACTATAAAGAATTGCAACTTCTCCCTAATTCTATTTACTAAGCTTCAATCCTGTATTTTCTATGCTTTTCGTGCATCCAGGTATCGTCTATCATCAATTAACTTGCTTCCGCCGCATTTCTCTCTACACTCCCGTCGCACTGAGCATGCACCTCAACATGGACCGTCTATGTCCCGACAACATAGTCGATAAATCAAATCGATTCATTACGAAACTCAGATCCACGGATGAGGAAATCCCCGGGATTGCGAGCACGAGAGGATACCTATTTCTTCAATAATAGGTAAGGTAGTTTCATTTAGTCGGATCTTAACAACCGCTTCAATAGACATATCCATATGATGATGGTCTGTAGCAGCAGCGATAAGGGGGGAAGACATGTTAAAACATGAGCATAGTCTTCTTACCCTACGGCACATACACGTTACCAATTGACATACTAAACGAGAACTTCGGAGTATCATGGCAGAAGAGGTGCATTAACCATCACCTCGTGCGCATCCCGTTATGGACTCATAACCCTCCTCAGAGGTATGATGTAAGACGTTAAATTTGGTTCATCAATGGGATATATGCAGTGCTGAGAATTATACTAATTTTGATATACTGTCATAGAGATAGTCGGACGGCGGACGAAGTATGGCTTACTAAACTTCGATTTGCAATCAAGTGCCCAAAGCCGCCGGACGGACGAAATACTACCACTGTTCATAGCACTGATTACGGCTCAACTACAGTCGCGGCTTCACTCATAGAAGATTCTATAGCACCCCGGTAGATAGTTCAATGCAGTATTTAAGTCTGCATCACCTCTGTTCTCTCCTCGATGTGAACTGCATTGGCCAGCAAGCAACTTAGCACAGACACGTTATAAAACACAAACAATATGCCTTCATATCTAGTAACGGGTGCATCCCGAGGAATTGGCGTAAGTACAGGTCTGTCAATAACGCCAGAGACACTAATTCGTGAAATAGTTCGAGTTCCTTCGCCAGATATCCGCCGATCCTGCCGCAGTTGTCATTGGGCTCGTTCGCGACAAGGCCGGCGCGGAGAAGAAAGTAGCAGCTGAGATCGGTCGCACCAATATTCATCTCCTCCAAGGAGACGTAACGGACTATGAGTCTCTGAAGGTTTGGCCCGTTCTATTTTTTGTAC